AAACCAAATTTATCTTCTTGACTGCTGGGAAAATATGTATTCATTAAATTTGAATGCAATCTTTCCACATCGGATAGCTTAGAATAAGTTTTATTATATCTTAGATATAATTCATACTTATGAAAATCACATACAACTATTTTTTATTAAAACTAAAAAAAAATACAAATGTTTTTATAAAACATATAAAAAGCTGCTGTTAGTTTAGTGAGCAATTTGTCTCCTCTCGCGAATCCTTTCAATAAAAAGAACGCCTATGATCATTGCGTATACTGTTGCATAGACAGCATGAGACCACGCTACCAATTAACTGTAAAATATAAATAAAATGAAAAATTATTTTTAATACAAAAATTGCATGTCAAATTGTTTATAATTATTAACCTCTAAAGCAATCATTACACAGGCGATTATATTGAAGACACGCAACAAGCTCAGCCAGTAGTTCTCAAACTGTATGCGACAACCGGTGGCAATAAGATTCTCACTCTTCGTTGCGTCGTTCTGCTTGAAGCAGGTGCTGGGCGGCAAGCGATCGTTGACAATGTAATCGTGGGGACTGGCGCGTCCGCAGCATTCAAACTGGCAAAGATCAAAATAAAGGAAATTATTAATATAAACGAAGCGAGGAAAGTTTAAATATTTATAAATAAATAATATTCCAAATAGAGAGCTCTAACCCTTCATTCTTACAACATGGTTAGATATTTGGAGTGATATGCACAGCAACTTAATGGATATATTGGGCCTCACGCATAAAAAGTGAGCTTAAGCTCCGCTTCGATTTTTAGTACAATTTCTTGAGCTTGAGCTCACTCCATCAGTGCAAAAATTGAGTCTGACCTTAAGATCACTTATTATGCACGAGGACCATTATGTTCTCCGCTCCTTGACTATTTTCGAACTGAAACCATCCCACTCAATAAAACAAGTACGGTGGCGTCCATTTGCCAACAGAGATCACCATCAATTTGCCATATTTTCTTTGACCTTATTTGAATGATCACTTCAAGTAGATAAAACAATGGCCACTTTTAAACATTACAACACTCTCGTATCCAACAAATGTTGTAACAATCTTTCGTCCTGTGCAAGTTCAAGGAATATAGCAACCCTCCCTTCTGAAAATTAAAGATGAAAGGTGAACCAATAGTTCTAAGGACACATTAGGACTTCTTCTTCGTACCCATTTTTAAGGTTGTGACCTAAATCAGGTCTTGGTGGTAGATAACAACGTAGCGGCACCATTCATATATGTCGATAACGGACGGGATCTTTCCAGCAATGGGACAGGAGGCCCAATCGTGGGTTATTCCATCGCTGGAGAGCATATTCAAACCAAGTATAATGCTCAACTATGTTCCTTCAACTTGGCAAAGTGACAATCTGTCCTTCGCTTCTCTTCAAGATAAACTTCGGCAAGATGTTTCCTCCAAGAAGGAGCCTATTTTTACTGAACGCTTTGAAGTATCGATTTTTGCGGACGGCTCAAAAATAGTGTCTTTCAGGCAGAGTTATTTGCCATCAATGAGGCCTGCAATATAATTTTAGCCTCGAAGCTAGCCGGGGCCAGCATTGCTATTTTCTAGGAAAGCCAAGCAGCGGTCATGGCACTTGACTCTGTAAGCATCACAGCCAGCCTAATAAAAAAAGTGCAGGGAGAGCAGAATTCATGGCAATAAAAAGACCGACGAGCTAGCCAGGAACGAATCGGCTCTGGATGTCTCAGAGGCACGTCTTCACCGACGGTTTTAAAATGGACGAAGAAGTGGGGTGCAGTATATTGTACAGAACCAATAATTCATAGGTCCTTTGGGCTACCAGATCACTGCAGTTTCTATCAAGCTGAGGTTTTTGCAATAAAGGAAGCGGCAAAGGTATTGCATGAAAATAACCCAACAAGCGAGCAAATTAACAACTACATAGATGGTCAGGCGGCCATTAAGGCTCTACTTTCGTATGAAACAAATTCCATCACCGCCGAGGACTCTTCGGAGGCTATAAGAAGGCTAGCTGTGGCTAAAACTGTCCACCTATATTGGGTCCCAAGACACAAGGGTGTGGAAGGTAATGGGAGAGCTGACGAGCTAGCCAAGAAGGGCGTTCTCTTGGGGAAATCAAAAGATTACAAGATCTGCTCATTACCCCCAAGCGGGGAGCCTTTGGAAAAAAATTCAGCGTTGCAGACTTTTAGAAATTATGTGTAATTCATACGACAGGAAAGTTTCTAATTTCCTATATCAACAAGAAGAACAGACTCGAGGCTCCTGATGGGATTGCTAACAAGACGTTACTTGGTAAGAGCACATGCATCTAAACTAGGTCTAATGGAGGATAGAAAATGTAGGAAATGTAACTATCACGAGAAAACCGTGGAGCATATAATTTGCGAGTGTCCAGCCTTCAGCAATCAAAGACTCGCGTTACTCGGAAAGGTACAGAGCCTACAAGCAGCTATAGCAAAGGACCAAAGTGTCTATTAAAAGGAGCGGCAGTGTTCTTTAACATTGCGCGAAAGCATTGATTCATAGGTCGTAAACGCATCTGGCAACGCTATGGACGTTATATTCGTCTATTTGAAATCAGGCAGCTTATTGATGAGAAGCGGGTAAAGAGGGTCTCAGCGGCTGTTCGTGAATACGCCCCCGACTTCGTACTGAATCTTTACGTAAAATCGTGGCCTTAAACATAACGTTTACAATTGTCGCGGGGTATGTGCAGGTCAAAGAGATTACAAAATCCTTGAAAAATGGAATATGCAATTATCGTTGCTATAGTATGTTGCTTGGAAATGAAGATCTGGAGATATTTTAAGTACGCTGCCAATTGGAAATGAAATAAAACAAGATATGTGGAAAATTTCACTTTCCAAAAGAAGCAATGAAGCAAATAATCTTCGAATGCCCAGCCTTAGGCAGAAGAAGACTCATAATACTCGATAAAGATCATCTGCAGGGCCTGCATTCTGCGATTGATAAATGGCCGAAAGAGCTACTAAAGTTTTCCTTCACATCTTTAAGCACTTTAATTCCCAGATTTTCTTCTAAGCGTTAAATTGTAATATTTTTATATTTATGTACAGTTGTGTTTATGCTACACTTGTCACTTACCCAATTCTCATATTGCGACATTGCACCAGGGCTTGTCAGCTCTTCCTCCCACGCCTTGTCCACAGCATTCGAGAGATGCGAAGCTACTGTGCTTTCGCCTTTTATTAAAAGAAAAGTGACAGCTATTTGTGCGATTATCACAATCCAGAGCAGTGTAATAAACTGTGTATATAATAAATAAATGAATACATGAAAAATCGTTTGATTTAAATTAAGGATACATATGTCCATAAATACATATCAGCTTTATATATACATACATTCACACATAAATATGTAGGTAAATAATACATAACAATGCTGACTAAGCGGTTAGTTTTTTAAACTTCGTTTTGCATTTTCAATAAAAGATATATAGTATGTACTTTTATTCAATTATTCGGTAAATAAGTATGTATAAATAAATATTTACTCAAGTGCAGATATGCATTCATTTATTTGCTTTTGCGCTCACCGTCACTGTACAACATACGCTTTCGCGTACTGCACCCAATAGCCCCAATAGGAATATTACAACTGTGGCTACGCCTAATCCTATGTAGGCATAGGCAGCCATCGCACCGACTTCACTTACATCGTAGGAACATAGCACAAAAATGCCGAAGGCTATGAGCACCAAAGCAAGCAGCTGAAAGAAAAACAAAGAGGAATTTGATTAGTGTCATTGCTATGGATATCATATTTAACTAAAATAAAAATGCAAACTAAAACATTTTCTTTTGGGGAAATTGCATTTACATAAGTAAATAAAAAAAAGAATATTTAAATATATGTAACTTTGTTAAGTAATCAAAAATGTTTGTTAAAATTTTTCCACGAAGGACCTAAGTTGTGTTTATGGAAGCATTCCTCCAATCACATATGGACATATTCTAATCTTTTGACGAATTCCAGAAGTGATCGCTAGGGAGCCCACCTAAAATGCTTTTTTGGAAATTTCAAGACCCTACACCCTAATTTTATTTGTTTTTATGAGAAATATTTTTTCCTATTTTTCTACATTATNATGGTTTTATGAGTTTTTGAATGACTATTTCTATCGATAGTATTCCATATTTTGAAATTGTTGCAATTATAGATGGTCAAAATTTAAAAAATTAAGAGAAATATGGGTCATTTTTAAATTTACCCGACAAAAAATCCCAACAAGCCTAGTCCGACTATAGATTATTATACACCGTTTTAAAGGCCTATATATCCGCTTCTCAGATCATATTCGATATTTGAAATCGAATCAAAAATACTCATTCAAAAACCCATAAATCTACAAAATCCTGTTTTCTGACCTCTAAATGGCCTTTAACAAAATTTAGAAATTTAGGAAATAATATTTCTCATAAAAACAAATAAAATTAGGAGGTAGGGTCTTGAAATTTCAAAAAAAAAATCATTTTCGAGAGGAACCCTAATATATATATATATTTGTATATACCCTGTTGGGAAAGCTACTAGTTGGGAATTAGAATTCTACCAGTCAGCTTTCAGCACAATGGCGATGCCCTACGAAATGGTTCATTCTCAGGCTATGCATCAGCACCTACTAATAGAAATACTAGTAGCCTCATACCACATAACGGGGTAGAATGCCGATTCATACCCCGTAAAAGGAATAAGTACGTAGTTTTACTCGTGGCATTTCAACAGTCGTAGTTGCCAACAAAGCAAAGTACTAGCGAGCCATTCCAGGGGACCCAGGTTCGAATACTCGGACAGCGAAATTTTGTTTCTCTTTTATTCATGTTAACGGTTAACTTTTACTTTTTAAAAGGCCAAATATTCTTAAAAATTGCATTTAATTTTTATTGCAAAAGTATTTATTTACGCTTGTTCACAAATAAAATTAGATTTCAAAATTTGTAATTTTTATTTAAATAGAAATAATTTGCATTAGGTTCGTCCCACAAAGCAACCCAGAAAGCGTTCCT